CCATGGGCTATCATACGGTTCACTTCCTGAACACTATGAGGATTCAGCTTCGTCAAGCTCAAAATTCAAAATAAAGTCCATAACCGAAGAAAGTGAACGAATAGTTTGAAAAAAAAAGAAAAAAAGGACCAAATATAAGGACCACACCAAAAACTTGTCGTAATGGAGGATAAGCCCCGGTGCTTCCAAGTGACTTCCAACTCGAATTCTTTCTATATATTCTCTTTCAAAAATAAAAAAAAAAAAATCTTCAAAACCACCTTCTTGCAAATAATTTCACTTATTTTCTTATACATTAAAAACGGAAAAAAAAAATTATTCTTTAAAAAAGAGTAACAATTTCTCAAATGAATTGGAAATATTTTATTAAATATTTGCCAAAGCTGAAATCCTGCTTCTTCTTTTTTTTTTTATTATTAAAAATTCGACATTGATAAAACTCAAGTGCGTAAACTTCCCACATATTGAATATATGAGAGATGAGAGTTCTCAGGGGGTCGTAATTCACATATGGTGAAATGACGATGAACCTCACTCATCGAAAGTTCGTTCCCCTAGTATATAAAAATGATGAACACGCCAGGTAGATATAGTGTCATATACATATATATATATATATACACTCACTTCAATATAATGTTGAATAAAAACCATATGCTCATGTATTCCCATAACATTGTCATTAAATCGTATCGATATGCCTATTGGACAGTAATAAATTATCTCACATCATCATCAGCATCGTTAGCACCTGCGTATAAAAAGGCAGGTCCAGCATCATTATTATTTTTTAACTGCGATTCTATTTTTATTATGTATAGCACTGGGAAAAATGTAATTATATAATTTTCAACTATATGACTATAGTTTTTTTTTATTTGTAGAGTTAAAATTTCATATACAGTTTTAATAGCTTTACTAGTGCAAAAACTCAAAAATTTGCCAAAAACGACCTTCTGTCCCCCTAATTTCTACAATTTTCGACTTACAGTGTTAAAAAAATTCCAAATTAACACACAAAATTAAAAGGCATTAAAATAAGCTGCAACGCTTATTATTTTAATCCAATTTTGCTTATTTTAATACCAAAATGGATTAAAATAAGCAAAATGCTTAAGCTTATTATTTTAATCCAATTTTGCTTATTTTAATCCATTTTGGTATTAAAATAAGCAAAATTGGATTAAAATAATAAGCGTTGCAGCTTATTTTAATGCCTTTTAATTTTCTGTGAATTAAATATTAAAAATTTAAAAAATTAATTAAATTAAAAATAATTATAAGAAAATATAAAAAAATAAAATGAATTTTCAATAATATACCTTTTTGACATTCTGTGACAATTTCCGAAAAATCTTCACGATTATAATAATCAAATTGTGGCACACTCCAATAAGGACTTCCGCTTTTCAAAGCATTTGCCCTAAAATAACATTATCATTTACTTCTATGAAACAGATTTGTCATTCTTATAACTATTGGAATTGAAATAAATCCATTCACTATACAGGGTGTGAAATATCAATTTTTGTTAAAATTTCCATTGAATTCAATTAAATTTACACGAAGAAAATAATTAAAAATTAAATAATCAAAAAAAGGCATGAAATTAAAATCCCCTAAAATTGAGAATATATATACTGAAGAAAAAAATGAAAAATTAAATTTTTGATTATTAAATGATAATTTGTGGGACACTCTGTATATTATAGGTGCACATATGCGCGCCCATTCTCGTATATATATATGTGGAAGTACATTCAAAATATATAAATCCCCTATTCGAACAACTATTTTGATTTCTGAGTCCCATTACAGCCGTTTAGCCGCATTTGCCTTCTTGACAAAGCGACTCATATCTGTTGTTGTTCGGCTTTACAAATGGAAGCCTTATTCTGGAAAAGCTGCTGGGACCACATATATACTACTAGACACAAATGGTGACCTTAGTTGCGGATACTCTCCCAGATCCTAAGATTTTTTTTTCCGAATTAGATGTTTTCTCAGAATTTACAAAAACCTTCATAATGAAAAAGAAGGGTGAATTTTTTTTTTTTTTACAAAAATACGTAGAAAAATGTAAGAACCACTCTTATCAAAGCAAAAGAAAAAAAATTCTCGATCAGATAAAAATCATTTCACATTGAGAGGAAATTTTTCTGATTTCCTGAAATTATATTCAATTTTTTAGTAATATCCTCTCAAAAGAAGAATACGTATTCCAATTATTAACTGTGAAAAAATTATGTTAGTAATATTTAGTATCTTTTCAATTGAAGAAGATATTCTTTTAAGAGGACATCCTCTCAAACGAAGAGGATATTCTTTGAATAACGTATAAAAAATCTAAAGTTGTATTAAAAACGTTTTTTATAATTTTTTTTTTGTATATTATAAGACCAATTAACAGTTGTATTTCTTGTATAAATGAAACACTTTAGCTTTTTTTTTCAAAACGTGTGCGGCTAAAAATTGAATTTCTTTTTTGGAAAATTTTCTATAAATGAAGGCATCAAACCAGCCGACGTGGATTATTATATATATTGCCTCTAGCGTATATATATATATATATATATATATATATATATATATATGTATATAATGGCTTTGTTAACATGCGCGATGATTGAGTCGGTGAAGCACAGATTTTTCGGCAAGTTACGTGTGTATATGCGGATAAGCTTCTCAACATATTGCACCAAAGCCAAAAACGGTGCCATTACGGTCCAACGATCTCGAGAGTATATATTTAGAGGAAAAAGAGAAAGAGGATCGAATTCTCTCTTATATATATTTTCTTTTGTAAATTGCCGCGCGTTACGAGGAAAAAGATATATCATCAAAAAAGAAGAAGAAGAAGAAAAAAGTGTCTTGTAAAAATTTGTTTGTTTAAAATCAATTAATTTTTTTTGAAAAATTTGTTTTAAAACTTCTGTAAATGTAAATTTTTAGGTTGTCGTACTGAGAGGTTATAAAGCTAATGAAGCTAATTCATCCCTTATCGTAAAAGTTACCCCTTGATTTTTATGTTTACTTATGTGCTTACTACTCATTTATTTACACATACATGCGCATTTTACGCATATGTGTGTGTTAAAAGAGCGTTTATGTATAAACATGCACAAATATATATCTAGATATTTATGTATATATAAAAGAAAATGGATCTGATTTTGATTCGTGTATACGAAAGAAGTGCACTGAGCGTGAGGGGATCAAACATCAGATAATTCAAGATGGAGTCAGAGAGTCAGTAGTGTATGCATCTGCCCACATGGGATCTATCGCCGTGCGCCATTGTATACTAAACCATTTCTAGCGCTCTCAGTTCCATTCAATATTGGTCCACATACAGCATCCTATATGGCTTAGAAGATATTGCTAAAATCCTCAGCTTTTACCTGAGAATGTCCGTACATTATAACGGGCCAATGAACTTCAACATCATTTCGAATGGCTCAATCTAGAGTATAACTATTATGTATGTTTATATATTGTTATATATCTTAAAGGCATATTCACAAGAAACATTTATCTATATTAAAATATTATATGTGTACGACCACCTCCGTGAAAAAGGGGAAATTTCACGTTTCTTCAATATCTTATTGTTATGCGTTGCGGTTCAAAATTTAGGCATTCTTTCAACTTGTTTCTTTCAATTTTTTTATAAATATAGAATCTTTCTATAATATAAAAGAAGAGTGAGAAGGTATTAGAAAAGAGAGGAAACAGTAAAAAAAATATAGAAAGGAAAATAATTAAAAAGAGAAATACGGTTAAAATGAAAATTTATATCGCATATGTACGTTGGCTAAGTGGTAGCGTTTCCGTTATGGTCGAGAGTTCGATTCCTACCGTTTGTAAAATTTTTCCTCTTTATATTTCGAATTTGTAAAAATTGCATTTAATTTTAAATATTAGAGTTAAAATTTGTTTATTATTAATCCGAAAAAAGTAGCGAATCTGATTAAAAATAAATGTAATATAGAGCTAAGTATAACTGATGAGAAACTACCCTCACAGTACCAGATATTTAAGGATATCCCTGGGACATCTTAGGGATATCTATTTGATTCCAGCGGTTTGATCATCCCTAGGATATCCTGGGGATGTCATCTGGATATCCTTAAATATCCGGCGCTGTGAGGGTAAAAATTAGTTCAAAAACACAAAAAATTATCAAAAAAAAGAATCCCTTAACATTTTGCAATTTTTTGATCTGCAAAGATTTTTTTTTACTTGATTAGATTAAAAAAATAAAAAATATAACAAACCTTAAATACATGATGGTCGCGTCAACAGAAAAATTTTGAAAAAGGATTTCCGACGAGAAAAAAAAATCCTTTTTTTACACTTAAAAGGAGTCTAAAAGAGATTTTGGCAAGATATGATCATAAATATGAAAAAGATACGAAAACCAGCTTGAACTTGTCAAAACCAGAGAAATCGCATTTTCAATTATAAATAAAGTATAACAGTAAAGTTTTTTTTTTGCGGTTTACTTGGGAGATGGTATCGGGTCATAAGCAGGCATAAGGGCAATTCATTATACAGGCAAATCTTCACAAAGCTTTTAGCAGGAGTTGTAGTCGAATTAGCCTTGGTGGTGACAGTGGCGCGCGCACAATACCAACTTCATGTGTATAGCTTCAAATGTTGGTGGGGTTGATGTACTGCCTTCACAATTTCTTTTTCTCTCTCTCTCTCTCTTTCTTTTTTTTGTTACTATCCCTAAAAGATGAATGGAGAATAGTGCTCGAAAGCTAGTCACGCGGTAAAAATGTCTATGTGTGACTATCACTTATAGAATATAAGGTTTTGACTGAGTGTTGTTGTCGTCGTTCTTCGCTTACAGCATCGACGCAAAATCAACCCCTCCAAATCGAGGGGTGGCCCTAAACACATTAGGATGGTTACGCCCTTTTTCATAGGGAAAGGGAACTCTTATAACCAATCCGATGAGGGACCAATTTCAAAAGCAAGATCAAAACTCAGACCCTTCGAAAAAGTCTCAGTACCGTTGATGATGATAGTCAGAATTCATTCAAGAGTTTAGAACAAGAGAGAGTGCAACGATTGATTGTAGATTCTCTATTATTTTTATTTTTATTTTTTCTTACAAGAAAATTAACATTAAATGTTTCGCGTTTTTAGTCTTTAAACAAAAAAGGCAACAAAAAATTATATATATATTTTTTTTTCCCATAATAAAAGTGACAGTGAAAGGTGTTTTAATGAAGAAAATACGAATTTTGGACAAAATGCAGGCGCAGGAGGCATCGTTGACACATGTCTCTGTTAGCACGCAAAAAATGCAACCCTCATCAAGTGAGTTTTTTTTTGTTGTAAACAAAAAAATTATTTTTTTCCCTTCATTTAAATTGTTTTTCATTATAAAAAATGTATTAGTTTAAAAAAAATTATATACTTTGAAATATGGAAGAAAAATTTTGATTTACTTTTATAATGAGATTTTCACCACCCGCGGTGTTTAAGTCTAGACTAATGCAATTATAGAATATATATATATTTTACTGGTGCATTAGAGAATGGGAATTCCCAATGGTAATTGACAATTTAAAATCAAAGCAAAATATGTAATGTATACCACAATTGCGTAATGTTTATTTTCTCTTTTACTTTAATGCAAAAATTTTATAAAATTTTTGTTTTTTGATTTTAATTATTTTTCACATATAGTATTACATTTCAATAGATATTAATATTAAAAATTTGATTAAATTTCTGATTGTGATTAAATTTTAATTAAAAAATGTAAAAAGTACTCCACTAATTCAAAATTAGTAGGAATTTCCACTAATCATAGTAAATTATTTACTATTTGATTTAGTAGTTGTATTTTTTATTTATCAAAATTTTTGTGAAAAATAACTAAAAATTAGAAGAAATTTTAATTAAATTTTTTTTTAGTAAATTATTACTATTTAATTCCTTATTTATAATTTTTTTCTCTAACAAAATTTTAGGGAAATTAACTAAAATTTAGTACAAATTGTGACTAATTTGCATTATTGAAGGACCTTTTCATTAATCAAAATTTAGAGCTTCAAAATGAACAATTTTGTAACTTCTTAACATTAAAAATGTAAAATTTACTTTAATACATATTTTATTGTATGCGTAATTGATAAAAAAAAAAATGATATCCCTTTTTTATTGAGAAGAAATCGTCGTCCCCTTTTGTATTACCTTTACCTGTGGAGGTCATGCGATAGCCCCAATTTCATCTCGTGTGAAACAAAGAGCATGTGGCATTTAAACGACAGAAGAGTATATATATATATACATAGTCGGTGAATTTGTACGCGATAGAATTCACCCCCGCATATATATAGTAAGGCGGTCATCCATGAGAAAGTGTCGACAGATGTTTGAAATAATAGAATGTGGCACGAATCACCGTGAGCACACCAACAGGTTGTATATTAGTGGGATGCCCTCTCCAATAAATGAACAAACGTCATTTGGCTACGAATCACTGCTTTTTATAAAAATTAAAATCAAATATTTTATATATGATACAAAATTCCATCCCTATAAAAAATCATTTTTATATCTGCGGATTCGATTTATTTTGATAAAAACTCTCCTCTCAATTTGAGAGGAAATCATTTATGATTTTAAATCCTTGGAACGTATTCCACTGTCGTTCCTAGGATTTAATATCCTCTTCTTCTCTATTTTTTTTTACAAATTCTTCTTCTTTTGCAAATAAAAATTGTCGTTAATCGAAAACCTCTTAAATTATAAAAGAAAAACAGAAATTCTTTTAAAATAAGAAGAAATTTTTTCACTTTGTTATGAGTGAAGCAAAATAATTACTCCCAACTCATTATGAGATCGATATACAGAATAAAATTACGTTATATATCATCGCACGCATTATTTCTACCCTTGTATAGCAGGTTATTATCGATGAGAACATCTGACGTGTGTATATTAAAAAAAAAAAAACGAGAAACAACCCTCTAACCAGCGTATCATTGAGAAATATATTTCAAATATATAAACGTAGTTTATATTGAACGATGAGTATTTTTTTTCCTCTATAAGCACATGTCGCAAAATTCCCATGCTCTGCATTCATCCCTCTGCTTAAATATCGATAATTCCACCCTTAACTAATTAGAAGGTGACATATATCACCTTCATATATATGAGTATATACTTTTAATTAATCAAAAAAAAAATTTCTAACAATTGATAATGTAGTATATTTTTCTAAATAATTTTTTTTCTATAAATAGTTTATTATAAAATGTATTCTTATTTTAAGAGTATTCCTATACCTGAAGATCTATATTTGTTTTACGTTCTTCAATATAAATTTTTAATTTCGAAGGTAAAGCATTTTTTCGTCAACTTAAATTCTCTTTATAATCTTTATTATAAATAATAAGAGGATTCGAGTCAAGTGCATTATTTTTATTATATTAAGTAGCTTCTACTTTAGTCATATCAGAAGTTGCAAAAAAAAAATTAAAGTTCAATGTAACACATTGTCAAGTTAATTTTAAGGATATATATTATTTTTTTGCAATCCTATAATTTTATTATCATTTTACACCGCTTTAACTTTAATGAGAATTTAAATGAATTATATTCGATGAGGTTACTTACCCTGTATATATATATATATAAAAAATATATATATTGAATGGCATTTTATATGAAAAATGCTATAAGCAATGAAAACGCAACTTGCATAAAAAAGTAGAGAAAAAGTTATCGAATGATAGGGTAAGTGCAAGCTCACCCTTCACATAGAAAGCAAAGTATGGGAAAGTTATCGATATTTAGCAAGACGACACAAGGTCTCGACACGCAAACCCGGCAACTCAATCAAAATTGCATTTGGCAATGTAATATATATATACGAAACTGGCACAGGCGTGTCGCGCACATTTATAATATAAGCGCAATGAAAAGTACATTTTTTATATCATACATTTTCATATAGAAAATAATTCGCATATATATTTGCGCCTAAATACACTCTTCTCTTTTCGTATCAGAAAAAAAAAGTTTTATTTTTTCACAAAAATTAATAATGTATGTACAAGAAAAAGCTGACAATATATTTCCAAAGGAAAAGTTCAATTTTGAATTTATTTTCAGTTGCACATTATTAATTTTAACGAGGGGTAGTATATATGAAGAACCGGATGTGATTCACACGAAGGGGGTTTAGACGACTTCTTTTCCATATCCGGTATTATAGTGACAAGTTCGAAAAGCTTTTTGTTTCTGAAAAAATTGCCGCTAATGAGATTGACATGTAACTTGACCTAAAAATTGTAATTAATTACCGACACACGTATATGTAAATATATGGTATATATTTATAAGTCGAAAGTTATTATTTCCGAATGATATATATATATAATTAAAAATACGACTAATTCTCAATTTTTTGCAATATTAAAATTATAGAGTAGACAAGAATTTTTGTTTATTTAAAACTCCAAAAGGGGAATATTCAAACTCTGACATTTTTATATCCGATGCTAAATTACGAGATTCGAGAATTATTGTTCTTTACTTTTCAGCAGGTAACAATTTTAGTTTACCTATCTATTTCCCATAATAAGTGATCATCCGTTATTTTTGCAAAGGCTTAAAACGATTTTTCTCACGCCATTTATTTGGATAATTTGTCCAGTTGTAATAATACCAGTCAATTTTTTTTCACAAAAGAAATATATATCTAGAAAATTTAACAGAGAAAAAAAATGTGACTACAGCTTTTAATATGACATATTTTCGAATACATTTATTTATTCACACCCGCAAACGTTCTCTCAGCTGTCAACAGAATCGAAAAGTCCGTGTCGTTCTCCTAAATGGTTCTCTCACTATATATATACTCCTCCATTGTCGTGGTCGCACGTCCAACAAAAATGCAGATATATTTTGAATACGAATCCGTTTACTAGGGAAAACACGGATTTAAAAAATGAATTCAATGGATCGATTTGTCGTCGTATATAGTCGTCAAGTTGTCTTCATCATCATCATCATCTTTAAAAAAGCGTTTCTTTCTTGTACCTGTTGTGTTGCTGATGCTGTGAACTATGCCATCATCCAAGCAACGTGGGACTTATAATACTCGGCAGGTCGTCGGTGTTATAAATAGGGTCCAACTCCTTGTCGCGAACTCCGCCCACGTCATTCAAACCAAGCCAGTTGATGAAAACGTGAATGGTACCCTGAATAGACCGGATGTGGCTGCTGCATTCACCGTCTAAATGAACAACCAGAAACACGACACTTGATCGTATCGCGATCTACCAATCGATTCTTTCAACTTCTTTATTCTCTTTATAGACGCGAAGCATACTTTTTCCCTTGATGCGGATAAATACTTCTAAAGCATCTAAAAAATACGTATACCTTTTTGACGAACATATCATATCTTTATGATACCACTTTCATCATAATTCCAATATGATTATTACAACAATCATAAATTCTTGACAACAATTTTGAAAGATAACAAAAGGAGCTTGGTACAACAAACTAGTCAGCGACTTTTTCTTCGACATTATATATGAAACACAAAGAAAAGGAAGGAAGGGATTTTGGGTTCTTTATTGTTAAGAATTTCTAAATTCTCAAAACAAAATTTAATAAACAACATTTTTCTTGCTGTTTCAGGTCGCATTTTGTATGACATTCCATGTAAGGTGTGCCGTGATCATTCATCAGGGAAGCATTATGGAATATTTGCCTGCGATGGTTGCGCTGGATTTTTCAAGAGATCAATCCGTCGCTCACGTCAATATCATTGTAAAGCAAAAGCCGAAGGTGGTTGCACTGTTGATAAAACACATCGGAATCAATGTCGCGCTTGTCGTTTATCAAAATGCATACAAGCTGGAATGAACAAAGATGGTAAATTTACAAGTTTCTTTATTACAACCAATTTTATCAATCCGATTCTGATAGTTTGTTAAATCCAATCAGTATAACATGTCCAATTTAGTAATAAGGTTTCTGATTTTTATAGCCGTTCAACACGAGAGAGGTCCACGAAATTCGACACTTCGAAGGCAAATGGCGATGTATTTAAAGGAACCGGAAGTGATAAATACTTTGGTACCACCAACACCAGCAGCAGCTGCGGCCGCTGCAGCAGCATTGGATCTCGCACTTCCTAAATCTCCACTCGATCACAGGATTCAACCTCCAATTGCTCCTCCTGGTGCCGCACCACATCATCATCACCATCACCATCATCATCATCGTCATCCTCATTCAATGCCACATCCAATTTATGCCCACGCCAGCATCAACATGTGTAAAGTAAGTAAACTAATTCCTTTATTTAAAATTCAAACTATGTATGTATTTAAAATGCAGTTTAAGAATCATTTTAAGAATCATTTAAGGAAAAGAATACCAACTAACGGAAATAAATTTACAGATACCAATGACACCACCAGGAATACCAATAATGCCGGCAATAACACCCGAACCAGTTTGCGAACAAGCGGCACAAATACTCTTTATTAATGTTCGTTGGGCACGTGATTTAACATCAGGTTCGGGTTTATCAATAGACGATCAACTAACACTACTCGAAGCATCGTGGCGTGAATTATTTTTATTAACAGCCGCACAAATATTACCAAATTTAGATCCAACACCACTACTTCCACCAAGATCACAAAGTCTATCGTTAGCATTTCAAGTAAATCGATTTCGTGAGACACTATTAAGTTTTCATGCAATGAATTTAAGTGCCCATGAATATGCATGCATTAAAGCAATAGTTCTATTTAAAGCCGGTCTTGATTGTGAAGCATTACCAAGTAGTCCAAGTAGTAATGGATCATCATCGCCAAATAATAGTGGTTCATTTGGTAAATTACGTGATCCAGCAACAGTGGCAAGATTACGTGATAATTTTCAATTGGCATTGGGTCATCAATTAAGTACAATTGCCTATGGGACATTAAGATTTGGTAAAATTTTATTATTATTGCCAACACTTAAATGTATAACACCAGGAACAATAGAGGAACTATTTTTTAGACGTACAATTGGTGTTATTCCAATGGAGAGAATTATTTGCGACATGTACAAGTCACCTTAAATTTTTTTTTTCTCAATAATTGTTAAAAAATTAACTGTTTTTTTTGGCAATATTTTCGTTTAACGATAAACATATATATATATAAATAGTTTCCCAATAATTATAAAACATAAATGTACATAAAGAAAATCTGTGATATAAACCATATCACGATAAATTAGAATAGTAAAACATTTTTAGAGAATATTTTTTTATAAATGCATTAAAATCCAAAATTGTGCACCAAGTGTACTAGGATGCAATAAATTAAAAAAAAACAAAAACCACAAATGTACCTAAAATACTCGCCCGTGTACTAGCGATGATATTAAACGAGAACTTAAAAAATGTGACAAATTATGTCAACGATTAAGAACATTAAAAATTCTATTGTTAAACAAATTTATTTTGTTTTCGAATGTCACAATATATAATAAAATCCGAAATACATGGTACAAGACTGCGTATTCTATGATTGATAGAAAAAAAATCATGTAAATAAATATTCTATTGTAAATATATATTTGAGGAAAAGTGTATAAAAATGTCACGTGTGTATAGAAAATTTAAGATTTTTTAAAATTCGTTCGTATTTTATCTGCAAACATAGTTGCAATAATTTCTTTTTTTTAGTTTATGTTGTACATTATTAATATAAACATACACTCGCTGCGTTTTAATATTATAAAAGTTATGTAGACAATTCATATATGCCAAAAAAGTATATAATTAATAAAGATGTTACAACTTATAAACAATTTTCGTTATTTCGTCTTTTCTAAACTACAGAAAACTTTTTTCCTTTTCTACTGAATTCCATGAAGATTATTTCTTTTTCAAAGAAAAAAATTTGTCTTTTCAAAGCTGCAAAATTTTCTTCTATGTCTTTTCTGAAATGCAAAATTTTTCATTACCTGCAATTATTATACAAGAAATTAAGGTTATTTAATATAGATTTCGCTCTAATAATAAAAACAAACGGTAAATATCTAATTTAAAGGCTTAATTGACAATTTTCCGCCGTATTTGACACGCACAGTAAAAGTCCATATGAATGACGTGAGAATTGACAATATATCCAATGAAACCGATATAATATTCACACAACGAGCAAGTGTGCAACACTATAAAAAAAATTTTTACAAGTGACTCTCTGATTTCGCATGACTGAACGCGATAGGAACTGATGTTGGCACTTGTGAATACAAAAAAAAAGCATGTAAGCGCTTCAAGGGACTTGGGTTTGTTTATACCCCTATGATAAACGTATTTTCTTCTCTCACATTATTTTTAAAGTACATATAACACTTTCGAATTATTTATTCAGATTCAAATTGAAATTTTTAACTTTTAACTATATATATTTAATAATCTATCAGAGATGTTTTGAATATTATCAAGTTAGTATATATATTTTTTCGAAAAGGGATTTCTTTTGAATTTTTGAGAATGGACTAATCCGCCCCAGCGAGTATTAATGTATAAGAAAAGGACCGTGGCAGTACAATTCTTCAGAATAGATCTTATACTATTCAAGCGTAATGTACTGACAAATTACTCAGGTAAACAATCCACCCCGAAGATGTTTTCATAGGCATAAAGTAACTTCTGAGGTTTTATTTCATATTCGATAAATATAACATATTAGTTGCACCATAATTGCAAAAATATGTAACAAAAAAAGAAACATTTTCTTAATATACAAAAATCTGTTATAATATCGAATTTTTTATATTTCCCCGTGCAAAAATTCGGCAACCTGGTCCTGACCTAGTTGAAGCAAGGAATCCGACCGGGGCCAAACCAGGTTCTGGTCGGGCCCCGGTTTTAATCGGCCCTTTCAAAATTTCTACCTTTTATTCAATCTCAAGTGAATTTAATGTTAAAACTTTATGTGATTTATTGCAAAATTAATTTCTTTCTATATAGACAAAAGTTTGAGGAGAGGTTTTTAAATATATATAAAAGAAAGTAAAATTTACTATACTTAGTATGCGAATAAATCGCTGCTTGCAATTAGCATCTCGATTTAATAAAGCACTTGAGTACACTAGCCGTATGCTAGCAGTTTGCATTTTGCCTCTCGTTCCCCATCTCCACCAAAATGCTGGTGGGCTATCTGAAGAGGACGCGTAACTCTTGGCAGTAAAGTAATACACTGTAGCGTTTCCGGACGAGTGAATAATAATCCTTGGCCTCCTCATATCCACTACTACATATACATAAATAAATTCACAGTATATATATACAGTAATACTGTATTGAATGTATTTAAGGGCGTCGCGTCACAACGACAACAAATTGAAAACAACAACGGCAAATCAAGCGCAATGGCGTACAACACACACACACATATATATATATACCACCATCCGGTAGTAGCGGGACGAGGAAATTTCCTATTGTAACAACATTGTGCGACATTATTTCCTCTACGAGAATTCCTCTGCTTACAAATAAAAGTGTAGCAATGCTTATAGGTACTTGCGCGCACTTATAAAGTATGAAAGTAGAGAAATCGACAAGTGGTTCCCACCGTGCCACGAGGGCGCACCTTGTCACCCCGAATCACTATATACGTATACTTATATATATATATATATATATATTATTCCATTGCATATTATAAAAAAATTTTCTCCAGACTTACTTCTAATTATACCTATACATATTCTTGTGTTCTTTGCATATGTGACAATTATATAGCATTATGGTCTCATTATTTTGATTCGTCCAGTGCAGAAATTCGCCAACCTGGCCCTGATCTGGTTGAAACAGGGAACCCGAAAGGGGCCAAACCAGGCTCTGGTCGGGCCCCGATGTAAATCAATTTTAATCGGGCTGAAATGTGGCTTTTTCTATGGCCCCAATCAGTGTTACAATAACAAAAATGGTGTTACATTTTTAATTCAGAACGTCGCAGATAAAAATATTAACTTTTAATACATCAAAGTAAAATTATAACACATGAAAAAAAAAATAAAACAAAACTAAAGTAACTTTTCTATTTCTAAAGTTAATGTTAAAGTTTCAAAATTTCTAGCTCCGAAAATAGTAAAACCCGCACATTTCGCGCATATATATGTATTTTTAAGAGAGAGAGAGAGAGAATGGAGGGGGGGAGGATGAAGAGAAATGGAAAGGTAAATGAACAAAGAAGGAAGAAAAGTCCCAAGAGTAACAGTAACAAAACGCTATCGATGCCGCGTAACAAAGGGCATCTCGCATGTAATTGCACCTCAAAAAGTAACAAAGGACCCTCGACTATATGTTACATCGATTCGTCGCCCGATTTCACGTCTACAGATTATATAATATACGTCGTGACGATTTTCAAGTACACTTTAAAAACGCCGTATTGTGGCTTTTGTTTTGAGGTAACAAAACAGAAAAAGTGCGCTCCATATATATAGTATATATACATATACATATATGAGAGACCAGCATTGTAGTCAATTAGTAAACTAGAAGGGAGTCGGGGTGGTCGTCGCACCCTTACAAGTCTATCCGTTTTGCAGCAATGACCTCTCTGCCTTTGCGACTGGGGTCTTTACACAAACTTTCAACTTATTCCCTTTTAGTATATATACATATATACCTTTATATTTTTATTACCTTATTACAGAATTTTTCCTAATAACAGTAAAAATAGTTTGCTCTATTTAAAATAAACTAAGTCTTTAACATTATCTTTTGTAAAAAAATAATAATAACGGGAATTTTTTTTATTAGTGTTTTAATTACTTATTTATTTTCTGTAAATCAACTCTCTAAATCTGAATAAGTGAAATTTCACTTAAAATGTGTCAAAAGTCTTCCACGTAGAAAAATAAGTGTATATGCACTTACTTATTTTTGAGTGAAAACCACTTATTTAAAAGTGCATATACACTTATTTTTCTACGTGTAAGACTTTTGACACATTTTAAGTGAAATTTCACTTATTCAGATTTAGAGAGAGAACGTGTCTGTGTGGTCAGAGTATACGGCTAGCGCCCCAATGGTCCTGGGTTCGATCCCCCATGCGGGCGAGATTTTTCTCATATTATTTTTCTTAGATTATTCTAACTAAATATATAGATGCCCCTAATTTTTAAGGTTATGTTGGTTTTACTCTGTTTTTGACTATTGGCCTAGATTTTGGAGGTTCTGTTCGTCTTTAATCTGTTTTTGACATGGATAATACAACCACTGGAATCGCGGCGGTGGCAAAATCTTTTTTATAATATATAGGGAGACATTTACATAATTAAGCGCGTGCCATCGCGTGCTTTAAATGGATAATATTTGACGAAAACAAGAAGTAAAATATGTAAGAGGTTGAAAGTATTCTGCAAAACTTTTCTCTCTCTCTCGACATGATTGAATATTTGCACGTGCGACATGGCCCGTCGTTGTCGTGTCAGGAATTTAATAAAAGTAATACCTCTCTCGCGAAAGATATATATATATACGTATATATACACGTCGAATTATGAGATACAAAAAACGAATACAAGAGTTATGGTTTGAGTCGTGTTTTGCGCACACGCTAAAAATTCGTAGAACTAAAACCCCCGCCCTCGGCTATTAACAAAAAAAAGACTGAACTTTCGTTGAGTTCTCGCTTTATAAGCACTCCAGCGTAAAATGCCCCGTGTATTGTTGCGCCCGGTAGATGCATCCATTATATATACTATATATTATACATACCCACCGTTGATGGGAGCAGATTATGTTGATCGCTGTCATTCTAGGGGTTCATCACTAGCGTGACACTGATGCGCTCTTTACAAAAGAAGAGAGAGAGAGAGAGAGGGTGTTTTACGAATATTGGGGCCCATATTACTCTATATATATATACATCGAAGAAATCAATACGTCACCAACAAATATTGTAAGACTAATAAAATTTGAGACATTTATATATTAAAATTTGCATTACAGTGAAGAAAGGGGTATGTTATTTTAACACACAAAACATTTTAAAAACGTCTTAATAGGTGATCGGATTATTGAATTGATCTGAGATTTTATGAAGAACACCAGACTTATATTTTTATTTCATTTCAAAATTGAGTCAATGCTAAACGAGATAGACCGTGGCGCCACCTACTTAACACATTTTTGTTACACTTCAAAATGACGAGCTCAGATTTAGTCTATAATGTCAGGAACGTCTGTTATGTGACAGTTGTCTCATTGGTTAAAGAAATATACAAGACGATCTATTATTGGTCGAAATCGAAGATACCATTCTCTCCTAAAAAAAAGGTGTCTTAAAATATGCGAAAAATCTTTTTTATTTGCTAAACTATCAAAAAGTCAAAAATAGTCAATGTTTACTTTTTTATAATTCCCAATATAGTTGCGTTAAAAAGTTAAAACGTCATTCTTCAGTAGCTTATTGAGTAAAGTAAACATACTTTACCTCATTGACTTGAGATGCATCGCAGTCAGGTTCAAAATTCTCCTGCTGACAATAACCTATCTCTCTCATCATTAATGAAATGCAATATTGTAGGTGTTTGACCTTCTCGGCTTTTAGGATTTTGTGGTCTCACACCACAGGGGTTAACGAGCAAAAGTCAGCAGCAGTCTTTTATTATTTAGGCGCCACGTCGAATTCCTGACGGTAAACAGCAAGTCATCACTTATTATTGTCTTATGAAATATACTATATCCGGAAGGGTTTCCCTCTTTAATATTGTGACTTTAATTGTTATGCACTTGCGGAAAATCTCCAAAGTAAACTTTCTGCACTTTTGTAGAATATGACGAAACAAGTTCATTTTTCTACAATTTTGACTTTGGAATTAACTTATATAATTAAATAATTGGCATAAAGTCTTATTTGACGTAAAATTCATTTGACATAATTCTCACTTAACATAAACTTCACTTGATGCAAAATTCTCACTTGAAAAATGAAAAAAATAAAAAATGGTCACAACTAATAAAAAAAAGGTGATTCTATTTAAGGAAAATAGAGTATTTATAAGAAAAAATGTATTGAAGTGAGAGACTTTAATGCCAGAGTATACAACTTGAATGCACGCGCACACATATATCGAGCAATAGATTTGTTAGCGTAAAGGAAATTAAAGCAGGAAATTGTGTTCCCTCTATATGTATAAGTTGAAGGAGCAAAAGCTCTTTTACAATGGCTGACTTCCTAAGGCAAAAATCAGAAAGTTAGACACCACTGCTCGTCTTTAGGATAAAAAAAAATCGGAGGGTCATGAATAGCGCACAGACAAGTCCCGAGGGATGAGCAGCTGTCACTGGGTGCTTGCTGATTGGTCCATTTTACAATTCGGCCATGCTGAATTTTTCCAGTCTAGCTTCTTTTGACAATGGCATTATAAATATGCCAATATCTCTCAAAAAAAGGGTTAAACAATCCTAATGTGTGCGCGCAATATAATTGAATTATACAAATTTCAGTAAAATCCAAATACTTATTTTTTTCTGAAGAAAAATCGATTTTGACAGTTTATGTCAATTCCGATAATTGATCGTATTGATAATTTTTATAAACAATTATGGGAAACAAACATTTTTTTAATTCTCAGATTATCCTATAGATTTCGTAACAATACAGGTATTGAAACAAATCCAGTCCATATATTGACAGTAAAATGAGAAACAAGGCAAATGGAGAATGTGAATGATGGATAAAATGATATAGAAAACGAGGAGAGAGAAAGAGATAAGGGTTAATGCAGAAAGCATTCATTCACTTTACCTCTCGCAGCTTGGACGCGCGTGCCGCCATCGCCCCAGGGTTTAAGCGCAATTACTAAAATCGCTTGCCGGAAAGCCGCAACAGCTTTGTTATGTCACCCTCATCGTTTCTCTATAATATATAGATGATAAAGCAAAAAAAAAAAAAAAGTGAAAAATTCTTCCCACTAAAAGTAATCGTACTCTGACAATTATATAATCATCCTGAAGTTTCATAAATTTATTTTTTATTAATACAATTATTAAAAATAAAAATTCGTTTGAGACATTTGCGTTGTAATTTTTAAGACTGAAGTGTCTTTTTTGCATTTGATAAATGCGAACATTTAGAGGTTATGTTTCGTGTCTTAGTCGCATGCACTTACCTATGAAAGACTAACCTAACTAACTTAAGTAAATGTCTCTGTGCCTTTTGCAAAAAGAGGTTACGATTTGGTTTTCAAAAATCCTTCCAATGATTCTCAATGTTACGATTTGGTTTTCCAATGAAATTAAAATATTCCATCAATAGTGTTTTTTCAAACGAAGATCCTGATATCAAAAATGTATGGTCAAATAGTAAAATAAGTAGAAAAAATGTATTAAATAAAAAAAAATCCGTGAATAATGTATTAGGACTTAATGTATTATAAAACCGTGATTGCTGCCATTACAATTTTATCTCGGCGCTGATCCACTTTAGTCACGTGGTATCGGTGCTTAACCACTCGTCACATGCGACCCCTTGAGAAGCGACAGCTCGGGTTTGGCTTGTTATAACTCCAATAATTATGTTACCAATGCCGTTCAAGGACAAAAGAGGTAGCTCTTGAAGCGGCGATGGATGCAGAACGCATAGGATTGATGCAGGAGAGGCTATAACATCGCGCGAGAGACCCAAAAAAAAAAAAAAAGAGAGACGGTTGCTTGGTATATAGCCCAGCCCCAGCTGCCGGTAATCCTCCCTTTGTAATTTGCCTTCGTGACCCCCTGCCTGCAGTGGCGCGGACCCGTCAGGTCCCGGTTTTACCGGGAAACTCAGATAGAGAAAAAGAGAGAGAGAGAGATCCCAAAACATCCGCCGTGGATTGATCTTATCTTCATTTTTCACCTCACTGACGCTCAGTGCACCGATCGCTCACGATTACCGCCTAATAACTTCCATTGGCTTTAAAAACTGGTATTTGTCGAGTTTCCTTTTTTTTCAAACAAAACACCGAATATTCTTGTAATATTAATGGAATTCATTCCAGAGAAAGCAGAAGAAAAAGAAGTGAACAGCGAACATCTTAGTTGTGTTATAGGTTATGTTTTTTCTATATGTTTAGCGTCATTAGAAAGGATACGATCTTTCGCCACCTATCGGTTAATGTTGAAAACAGTAACCACTTTCGTTTATGATATCTCGCTACCTTTTTCGTCACACATAATTGAAAACATAACCTAGAAAATACATATTATACCTTTCTTTTCTTGGACCGTTTGTTTCCTTTTTGAGTACACGGAAAAAACTTCTTCTTTTTGAATTAAATAAAAAGTTCTACGCCAATGTAAGTAGCGGTCGATGTCATCGTGGATATGCCCTATGGATAATAGAGTCCGCGACTTTAATGGACTCGCTAATCCTCTTCACTGTTTGTCAGAGTGAGAGAGAGATGGAGAAAAAGCAGGGGGCACCCTAAATATAGACATTCAGACGAATGCATTGACAATAAGTGAAATCTCGGATAGGCGGAGAGAACCAAAAGTATAGAGGGAAGGGGGATGAGTTAAGTATAATTTTACGCAGGATGAACTTACATAGAACAGGATATATACAGGAGTGAGTGAGAGTGAATGAAAAAGAGAGAGAGGGATAAGAATTACGAAAGGGAATTTGAATGGTGGGGGTGAGTCCCCTGCCACATCAAGGAACGTGTTGGCAAAAAGATCCGCCCCTTGTGTGGGACCACTGGTGCGATGATACCCTGATTTCTCAAGTGACAAAATAAGCTGAGATCGAGCTTCAAACACCTGCGCGTACGAGTCATCAGTGCAATTTTTGTTAATTATATTTTTTTATTGTTATTATTATTATTATTGTCAAAGTACATAACTAGTTTTTAATATTTTTATTTGCGTCAGAAGCAAGAGAAGGATCAATGACAAAAAGGGCTTTAGAAAACCAAATCGTTATTTGAATATAGGAATATATTTTCCCTTATGTTTTTAGAATTATTTTAAGGTAAAAATGTAAGGAAAGTTAAAGTACAATTGTTTTTATTTTTGAAGTTTTTGATTTGAAAAATAAATGGAGCAACGTATTTCGAATATAGTTTAATAAGCTTAGTATTTAAATAACAGAATTTCGTTTCAAGTAACAAATAAGGATTATATACTAAATGGAGCCGCGAACAAGGAAGCTGGTTATTAAGAGGAAGAATTTTTCTCTGAAGGATTATGGGAGCACGTGGACTTATATTTCTCTAATACTTTAAAGCTTCTTTTTTTGGATTCTGATTTTTCTAACTGATATGAGCGACAGCAGGAAGAAAGAAAACCGAAATTTTTTCTGCGATTTCAATAAAATCTAATTTGAAACTGTTATATTTGTATAAATTAAATTGGGTCCATAAAGCAAATACTATAAGCAAATTAAAATTTTTTTATTTCAGTTACATATATATTACTATAAGTAAAAATAAAGTGTATACAATACTTTTCTTCTTTTGTACTCTAAAATAATACAAAATCTAATTTTCCTAACTACATATATTATATAATATTGTGATTGATGGAGGATGAATTTTGACTCCTGAAGAATTGTATCATTCTCTCTCTCTCTCTATTTTAGTCAACCTGGAAAAAATTAATTCAAGAATATTATCCTGTATTATGTAAAAAAATTTTTTTTAATCCGACATTTTGAATTTTGAAAATCCGATCTCAAATTCGTGATAAGCGACCCCAAAAACCCACAGTTAACTAGTCTCAAGTAAATTTGACGAATTTTAAAGAAATCCGCCATATTGGATTCGACATTTTGAATTTTGAAAATCTGACTTCAAATTCATAATTATCTAAATGAATTAGTTTTTTATTTGTCAGAGGTATAATTTCTTTCTGATTCGATATTTTTTGTTCATTTATCATAAATACCTTGTTGATTTTGTTGAGCATGAAGCAATTGTTGAATTTCGGGTGGGATATTTTTGGAATAGTGAGGTTGTTGTTGTTGTTGATGATTGTAAACAGGTTGTTGTTGTTGTGGTCTATAGGGTTGTGGTTGAGGTAAATTGTAGGCTGGTTGTTGATGTCCTTGAGGAGCATATCCTTGTTGTTGTTGTTGTGGTCGATATTGATGTTGCGCCTGTTGTGGTCTTGGTTCAATTGCTTGCGATGGCGCTGCACCAAAATGAATTTTAGGACGATATGATGTTGCTTGCTCTTGCGTTAATGGCGCAGGAGCTGCGCCTTGATGAGTTTGTCCTGGCGTTATTTGCGGTGGATTAACATGCCCTGGAATACTGACTATTGGTTCACGTGCTTGTTGCAATTGTAGCAATTGCTTAATCTGTCCTGGTACCTGTGAGTAAGGCCTATAATTTGGCAAATCATGCTGTGGTGGTACTTGTCTCACTTCTCGAATGTGACCTGTTATAATCATTATTTATATCACTATATAATAAAATCATTATTTTTATCAAGTAAAAAAATTTATTGAAAGTTCTTTGGATTATTTACGCAAAATGGAAGGATGTAATGTGAATATGTATTTTTTTTTTAGGTAAAAATGACACAATTATTAATATGAAATATCATATGGGCTTTTAGGAAAAAAAATTTAAAACAGTCTAAGCGTAAGTGTATACAATTACAAACGGTATTAACAACTTTCATTTTCCATACATATATAACTTTGATATTTTTTTAAATCTATAAACTAAAATAATGACCTTTTGAATGTAAATCTTTTAATTGGAAAATTTGAATAATTTGATCGTTTATACAATGTTGTGTGTAGAAAGAAATTTTCATTAGAATTCATAGCGAAAGGAAAACTTACCAAGACCGGTTTTCTGTTGATAAACTTCCGGATTCTGATCGACGAATGGAAGTTGTGCAGTGCATATCGATGCCAATGCGCACAGTAAAATCTGCGACAAATTTAAAAAAAATGAGGTTATACAAAAATAAATTTTTTCCTTTTATAACTTTTTATTTTATTCCATTTAGAATTTGAAATATAAATGAAGGACATAAAAATTACTATTCACGAAAATAATAATTATTCAAAAAATTTTAATCAATTTCTAACTTTTTAATTTTACTTATAGTTTTGTTATAAATTTTTTTTTGTAAATAGTTGAAAGAAACTACTTTTGTCATATAGGGGAAAAGGAGAACAAAATATCGTTTTTGTTATAAGAAAAATTATCACTAAATGAAACTACCACTATTTGTTATTATACCACCATAAGAAAATATTTTTGTGCACTTGATTTTAATCTAATACAGAAAATTAGAAAAAACTATAAAAAATATAATTAGATTATATCGGATTTTAATATTAGTTTATGTCCCATTACATCTTAATATTAGTTTTTATATGTATAAATATTAGCAAACGACATTATTGATACCAACGTTTAAACTTCCTGTCAAGGTTACTTTCTCTATTTTGTTAAATAATAATAAAAAAGACACGAATTATAAAAATTCATGTCAAATTAAGCTTTTTTTAAAAATTGATTTCTATTTTATAAAAATATATTATTGTTACTTACGAATAATATCATGGTGACAAGGTTGATGAAGATGATGATGATTTCGATAGGAACCTAAGAAAACTGGCGTTCGCGTCGAGACGCACTTCTATATGGGCGCGTTTCTGGGGTAAATGACCACCACCATGGTTTCATGGTTCGTTGGCTTCGAAAATTTTTAAATTACTTATACATATATGATCATGTAACACCCTGTTTGACTGGGCTCTAATCTAGAAGGCAGGAAGTGATCGGGTCCACTCCGCGGTGTTCCATTTGTAAAAAAAAAATCAAATCTATATATGTGCATACCATATATATCTCATATATATACGTATTTATATATTATATGTCTCATATGCACTATATACATTTCGATTCTCTTTTCTATATAATCAACTAAAATTCTTAATGCAAGTGATAATTTATTTTTCGCAATAAAATCAAATTTTGTACTAAATTTTGCACAAAAAAAATTTATTTTTCTTTGCATTCCCTTGATAATCGAATATTAAAAATTAAACCTATATTTATTTATTTATTTAACACTGAATAATTTTGGAAGAGTTAAAAAATATTTTTAAAAAATTTTATAAATTACAAAAAAAACTTTCTTGTTATAATAGTTGATTAACAAATAAGAAATTTGGCACAAACAATTGAAAATTTTCAAGTATATATTATTAAAAAATAAAAGAATGTTTTTTTTTAAAAAACGACATTTTTTATTGAACACAACTATTATACACTTTTATACTAAGGTCACGAACAAAATGGGAAATTATTTTTCAAAAAAAAGAACCACAGAAAAATTACATAATTTTTCATTCTCATGTATTATTTCTATTTTATATAAATTCTAAGTTGAAAATATAGTTTCATGCATCTATTCACACAGAAAAAAAAATTATATTCTAAAATTGGAAAATAAAAATAAATTTTACATTCATATATTAAAGGGTATATGCCCTGTAAATGAGGGAAATACAAATATTTGTAATATTTAGTGCAAAATTCACGTATATTATTATTTATCGCAGACATTTAAAGAAAAATAATCGCGTCTTCAATATATATATTAGACACAATTAATAAAGAAATCACAAAATATGAAAAAAATCGATTACTTTTTTAAATAAATATTAATTTGTATTAAATGAATATTTTTTTATATTAAAAAATAATAATTATTTATTTTTGTCTTTATGGCATATTAATTTGTTTTTTTAAATCAAATTTTACAGATAGATCGAAATTTTATTTGGTTCAAATAAAAACTTGTATTTTGCAGAAATAATTATTAATTTGAATATAATTTTTTTAATTTAATTTGATAATAATTAATAAAGTAAGAGATTTATTTTAAATGAAATCAATTTTCAATGTACTCTAAAATGGATATTTGAAAATTCACTTTCTTATCCCAGAAAGTTGAGTACTTTATGTTATAATGAATATATATATATAGTGCCAATAGTCGCGGTGGCACTTTCTAGATGAAAACGATATTATAAACAGTCTCCATATAACGGAAAAAGCTGATACAGATTAAAATCGTATATATCAGCAAAAATTACTCCGTCTTCTTTTTTGCAAAAATTTCAAAACGATTTGTCTTTTTTTTGGAATATTCATGTTTTTCCATGTAATGATTTACGAGAAATTATTTAAAGAACTAAAAAATGACAAATTGATAATTTTGAAAATGATTTCGAATTGAGAGGAATTCTAGTATTGTTGTTCGGTAACAGGACGCGTTGATTGTTGACCGTAATATTGTCCCTGTGCTTGAATTCCACCGTACTGTTGACCTTGAGCTTGTGTTTGACCTTGAGCAAGACCTTGTGCGTATTGTGGAACATACTCTGGTTGTTGCGGTGCATATTGTTGTTGTTGTTGTTGTGGAGCATATTGTTGTTGTGGTGCATGTTGTTGTTGTTGTGATTGCACTGGTTGTGGTACGTAAGGTTTATCCGGAACGTAACTAATTTGATTGGCAATAATATCATATGGAATTTGTGCTTGATATTTTAAGATGGATGTAATTTCTGCTGGTACATTCGTTGAATAATTTGGTAATACTTCAGGTGCTGGTTGAGATATTCTTTTGTATTGTGATAAGTCCGGTTGTTGTTGTTGTTGTTGCTGTTGATAACCACCGGGTGCTTGACGTTTTTGTCTTGATTCTGCACGATATTTAGCTCGGTACTGACCTCGTGGTTGATGTTTTTGTGGTGCTTCAACTGGTGCTGGCGCTTGTTGCACAACATTCTGTCGTTCGCTTAACGATTGCTGAACCTGCTTTGGATATTCTTCTTGAAAATGTCGAGCATGTAGCTGTGCTGCTGATTCGGCGTCGAATCTGAAATGCGAAACAGTATTTAGGTATTTGGATACAAACAATATCCTAATTTTCGGATTTTAGACTTTTTAGATGATTAAGCAGTTTTTGCTGATGTAGAATTTACAAAATGAGGTTCAGAAATTCTTTTATTATTCTTTCTGTACCTTTCTTTTTATATTTTCGTTTAGAAACAAGATTATTTCCATATCTGAAAAATGAGCGTAAAATTGATAAAATCTTATTTATTATACACGGAAGCTGACTATACTAGTTATTATGATAATTGACATTATACCTGAAAGGTTCGGGAATGACATTCTGATAAGGTATCTGCGCTTGGAACTCGAGTAATTGCTTGATTTGTGAAGGAGCATTGTTAAATGGAGTGTAATTGGGTTGTACTTGAGCTGGTGCTTGTTGTCGTACAGGTTGAGGTTGATGTTGTTGTTGTCGGTGAGCAGGTCGACGACGTGGTTGTTGAGCTACTGGTTGTGGTGCTGGTTGTGGTGCATATTGTGCCTGTTGTTGTTGTTGTTGCGCTTGTGCTTGACGATTCTGTCCAAATCGCCAATTCACTTTCAAACCTGTAACAAAAAAAGTTCATTTTAAAAATGCATGTTTAATATAAATTTCATTTTTTCCTTTCACTTTTCTTGTATGTGTCTATAATATACCCTTTTTCAGTTAAGTATCACCTTACCACTTGGATCTTGATATTCTAATGCGCGATTTTGTTGACTTTGTCCTCGTTGTCTGGCGTCATATGGATCTTGTAAATAAGTATTGGCACCACCATGTTGTGGTCCCTGAATTTGAAAATCAGTATTTCCATCTGATGGTCCTTGAATTTGAAAACTGGAATGTCCATCTGTTGCACCTTGAATTGTAAAGTCTCCAGTTCCTAATGATGCTGAAAAGAAAATTCCACATTTCGAAATATTGTTCTCAGTTCTATAGTCTAATATTTCGGAATACCGAAATGTAAAGAAATTTCTGTATGATGTAATAATATGAAATTGTTTCAACGTTTTACGACCAATTAAGATAATTATCATTATCAATTATTAGATTATTATTTCTAGAATCGTTTTTCTATAGTTTCATGTTTAAGAATATAGAGTAGCAATTCTTTTTTTCTGCGAAATAATTATGTGGGTTAAAATAAGTTTTAAAAAATTAACATTTTCTAGAAAGATTTTGATGCTTATGGATTTCGATAATTTAAGCTATTAAAAAATAGATAATTACCACTTTTATCTGTATATTCAATGCCCTTATCAGCACTGTACTTTAAACCTTGTGCCTGTCGATTTCCATCACTTGGTCCCTGAATAGAAAATTGGGCCAAACAACACCAAGGCACAGCGAATAGTAGTGTAATCTGTAATTCATAAATTTTTCTTAAATGAATATTAAAAGATATTCAAATTATCAAAAGACAAAATTTTCCAAATATTACTCCAATAGCATGAGAACTTGGAAGACTATTTTAAAAAAAAAATTAGTCTTTATTTTATATGCAAGTGTTGCAATTATTTTTCACTTTACTATAAAAGTAGTATCTCTTATGTTCACAGAGTATTTTATATATATATATATATATATATATATATATATATATAAAATACACATACAATAAATGTGTAAAATCGTGCAAGTGACTTGAGATTGGAAAGTTGCTGAATATCCAACACACATCAAGACATATAGGAGAGGTAAAAGCGCAATGTTTAATCGTATCGTCGATCCTTATAATCGAGAGAGGAAAAGGTGACGCTACTCTCAACCTTTTCTGCTCAAAACTTATATACTCTTGCTTCATGAAAGTGCACAGCTATAAATTAGCAATGCTATGTTTCCCCGGTTTTTTTTTCACCTGACACTTGTTACATAAAAAAAAGTCATGCTTGTGCAAATTAATGTGTTCAACGTGATTTATACAGTTTAACGAACAAGTTTCTTGAAAATGTTGTTTTGTCCTCACAAAATATACTTCTATATATAATAAACAAGATTTTTTTTTATACATACTCATTAAATTATATATATAATAATAATAATAATATATATCCATCAAAATTTTCAAATCAAAAAATATATATAACAATAAAAATTAGTAACTTAAAAACTATTTTTTGTATTAGAAATTACATATGAATTAAATTTTATAAAATTAAATACCTGCAGGGTAGGGTTCGAGACTTAATTATACTTTAATAATAATATAAAAAAATTCTATGGTATCCATTCCAAATCGAAATTTATAAATTTTGATTTGATTTTTAAAATGTTCTAACTTGAAAGAATAAAAAAAATGTACTAAAAGTGAATAAAAATAAATACAAAAAATTAATTAAAACATAAATATATTAAAAAGTTAGGAAAGAAAAACTACAAAATTATACTTTTTTTGACAATGCAAAAATGTACTAATTTGTAAAAATAAAAAATAAAAAGTGATTTGAATATAGGATTTTTTTTAAATAAAAGAAAAAAAACAATAGATAATCTAATTTACCTGGAGTATTTTCAGCATTTTTGTTAAAATAACAGTCTGAATAACTTGGAGGGTTGAGTGTTTCTGAGGCGGGCGCGCGACGTTCAGATCAACTTTATAGGTGCGGGGATGTGTCGTACACGGTTAACCACCTCCAGCTTTCTTTGAATATATAGGTTTAGTGATCGTGGACCGACGTTTTCTTGATTTTTAATCAATATATTGCTGAACAATCACTGGCCATAGAAATAGATTTAAAATAATATATAGCTGTATAATTTAACTCCCATTATTATCATTTATATTTATATATTCACTGAAAGAGCATGTGAAACAAACATTTAGCGAAAATTTATTTCTCCTTTGCGTTGAAAAAAAATCCTATTTTATTCTAAGAGGATAATTCTAAAATCTAAGATTTTCCATTAGTCGAAACATATTTTATTCTTTCGAAAGTAAAAGTACAACTGGAAAAATAGTAGTTTAATGAAAATTACAAAAAAAAAGTAATTATTTAATGACTTTATAATATTCTTAATAATATCTCATTCAGTTGTAATTATTTTAATTCTTCATTCAATCAAATCAATTTGACAGTTTTATTAATATAATTAACTGAATGTTTAATTACTTTTTCGCGCAACGTTGCTAATTATTAATAATATAAATTTATTTATGTAATTTATGCGCGCGTTATGATTTTAAAATTTTTCTTCGGCCATTGACCTTAAATTTCATATATTTTTTTCATAGTAATATATCAATTTTTAAGCATTGAAGCGATACATTTTTATTTTATATGGATGTTACAAAATTGATATATATATATCGCAAAATGCTTATTAGATTATATCTTGAATTAGAATTATATTTTCTCTCAAGCAATGACCCTTATATATAACGAGGAGATGTGTAAAAATGAAAGTCAGCTCTAGCGCGAGTGTAAGTGAAATATGTAGATCGAACGGGACTCTGATTTTCTGAAGCATGAAGGCCGATCGTGTCTTCCTGTTCTGGAGAAATGCCAATTTTTCTTTACATTAACATAATAGCGAAAATCCTAAAGATTTTCAATTTTTTTTGAATGATTAATAAATATTTATTTATTCGAGTAACAAAATTTTGACGAATTCAATGAATTTAAAATTTTTCCATCCTCCATATTGGATCCGTCATTTTGAATTTTTAAAATCGAATATCAAATTCATATTCAGCGACCCCAAAAACCCCCGAGTAACGAATTTCAGGTAAATTCAATGAATTTTAAATTTTAAGATCCTCCATATTGGATCCGCTATTTTGAATTTTTAAAATTCGTATTCAGCGTATAAAAAAAACTCGGAGTTTGGTTTCTAATTTATTCTATAATTAGTTTTATAATTTAATTTTCCATTATATTTATAAATTCCTCTTATAATGAGAATATAAAAAAAATAGTTTGAATTTAATTACAATTCGTTTTATAATTAAATAATTATTTTTCATGAATAGAATAGAATTTTTTTCTCCTCTTTGTGTTTTTCGTTAATATAATTTTTTACATTCTATATCGAATCTATTTAGAAAAATACAATTTCCAAATTGTTGCGTTAAAAAAAATAAACTGCGAATTATAAAAATTCACATGAATTATAATTTCATAATTATTTTGACGTTTTTCTATTTTTCTATTTTAAATTTTATTACAATATTTTTTTTTTTTGCAAGACCTACTTTTAATACTAAAATTTATTAAATGCGAAACATATTGGGAAGTTTTATGAGTACTGCGTTTATTGCGGAACAAAAATTAGTCTATACGAGAAATAAGAAATAAAAGAAAATGATCTCACAGGAAGTGCGATATATATTTTTTTCAAATAAGTAAATTACGCAAGAAAAAAAATTATGCTTATTGCAGAGGGATAATTTTAAACTATTTCGAATTTTTTCCATTTTTTATACATAAAAATTTATATTACAATTGAATATGGGTATGGCAAATAATGTAATACACGATTGGTTATTTCTAAGTATATATTTCTTCATAATATATCTATATACATTTATTTATTTTGAATTTCTCATCAATGAGATTATTTATACATAATCGGAAGCGCATATTATGGAATATAAATGTATATATAGTCACGATTCTTATGAATGTACTTTACATTCATTGGTTTTTTTTTATATTTTATTTTTACTTTCCATGCAATTCTTTGCATTAAGTCAACCTTACAAGTAGAAAAATAAATTCAACCTATAAATTATGGAGGTGAGAAATAAAAAATACCTCCGACACTTGTTTCTATACATTTTGCAAAACATTTTTTCTTCACACTATACAAATCTTTCAAATGGCACGGAATTTACTATCGCAACGATTTTGAAATTCCATTTTTCTAATAAATATATATATAAAAAACATTTAGAAAAAAAACATTTGAAGGAAAATAAAATTATATTGAGAGAAAAATTTTGTTTTTCCATTTATGGTGATAGCCTCTAGTAGCTATTCCTCTCAAAATAAAAGTATTCTCCTTTACAGTTGAAGGAATTTTCCATAAAAATCTGTTAAACGAAGAGGATATTCTTCTTTTTGAATGCGCTAAATTTTTCCGAATCATTGCAAAAAATTTGGTTTTTTTTATCATCACAATTGTATGAAGGAAAAAAATTTTGATTTTCAATTTTTTTTTATATAATTAGAGACATTAATGACGTGGAGTAATTTTTGTAACTTTATCCACTGATTTATTTTCATTTTCCTCATTATTATTATCATCGTCGCGCATATAATAAACTTTACTGCGATAAGTATAGGCACCTTTATCATCTTCGGCTATTGGTTTTGGAATAAACATTTTCTTTGGCTTATAATTAATTCTATTTGCAATTACATAATAAGGAATTTGTGCCTGTAGATTTAATAATTGTTGTATCAATGTTGGCATAATATTTTCTTGTGTTGTATGTGTTATTGATTCTTGTGATGATGAAATTGAATCATCGGGAATTTTTGTTTGCCGCTGTGGTACAAAGCCATATTGTGGTGATTTTGATTCTTGTTCATTATCTTTTTTATATTCAATATGACCAATTTCCTTTAATGGATATTTACCATAGTGATGGGTTTTCTTTTTTAATATTGGATTTTGATACTCATTTATTAATTTCGATGTATCTTGATTTGATGATGATGATGATGATGATGATGATGATGGTAATTCTTGTGCAATTGTTGGTGATCTTTGTTGTTGACTTGCTGTTTCTTGTTCGGAATAGGAATATTTTCTAATTGGTTCAATTATTTCTTCATGATTGTGAATTGTTTCTTGTCGTCTTTCGGCATTTTTTTCATTATCAATTGTTGGTGATTTTGCATTATCATCGACATTTGCTGCAACTGGGGTATGATAAATGTAAACTTTTGGATCAACATAGGGACCTTGAGGTTCGTACATTTTGAAAATCAATTGTTTTATATAGGTTGGCACCATTGAATATGGTTTGTACTCGACTGCTGGTTCGATATGTTGTTTTTGTTGTTGTTGCTGCTGCTGCTGTGGTTGTTGTTGCTGATGGTGTTTATCTTCTATTGTCTCCTGGGATTTTGTTGTCTTTGTTTCTGGAATTGGTTCCGTTTCTTGGTTTTTACTTTCACTTGATTGAATATTTTCCAATTCTGACGTCCACTGAGTGTAGGGTGCAAATAACTTCCAACTGACTCTGTAACCTGCAAAAATTGATTATTATAACTTTCTTCATTTGGAAAAATGAAATTTAATTAAAAAACTATTATCATACCATTAGAATCATCATACTGAATGTGTCCCTGAGGTGCGCGCACAGTACGTTGTGCTTCATTTTCTTCTTCTTCTTGTCCCAAGCAAAATGCTACCAATAGAAACACCAAAAATATCTGAAAATTCAAAAAATACTTCTTTTTAAATTATACTTATTTCAAAATTAAAAATTTAGGAATAATTCTAATAATTAGAACCATATTTATAAATAATTAATATTAACAATAAGTTATAATAAATAATAAAAATAATAATAAAAAATAATATTTTTATGAATTATAAATATATAAGTTAATGATTCGTTTGACTAATGTTATACTTTTTTTTCTAATTATACTATAAATTTCTCTTCTATGCTTGAAATCAATTAATTTTTGTGTATTTTCTTTTAGACTGAGAGCAATGCTTCCGCATTAGTTCCGGTATGAATATAGATATAAAAAACATACAGAGTAACATTAAATGCACTATCAGAATGTAATATCTCACTATTAGAAAGTATTTCTTGTCTATCATAATTTTTGTCTACATTACTTTTAACGTTTTTTTTTTCTTTACATTTCAGATGAAATTTTAATAAAATGCCCACTAATATTTTAATGTTTTTATAAATATAAAATATACGCTACTTGTCACACGTAATTTGTAAATCAAGTTATTTTATAAATACTATTAAATATGTTAAAATTTATATTTCCCTAATGATCATTTTTATAACGATGACTCATAAAAACTGTCTAGTCAATTATTAATTAATTAATTGTTGTATAAATTGATTATGTTTTATTTGTGTGCAATTTAATTGGTAAAATAAATTTCTTGTTTTAGAAAAATTAAAAAAATAAATAATTTAAAAGAAAAATGAAGTCGACATTGAAAACAAATACACTTTTTAATTTTAAATAAATATAAATAATAAATATAAATTAGTTTATATTATATTTTTAACCCAAAGAGAAGAGGAACAAAATAGTGTAAGAAAATATTTTGTAATAATTATAAAATTAATTATAATAATTGTTATTTAGTTTTTAATTATTAAAAAGTATTTTCTTTTACTATTTTGCTGCGTTATTAATTAATTACAAAATCAAAATTAGTAATTTGCTTTATATTAATTTATTATTAATTGTTTATTAATTTTTTATTAAATTATTATTAATTTTCTATTAATTAATTTATTGAATTTTCACCACTTTTTCCCACTGGTAATAAAATAAATTAATAAAAAAATTTATAAATTGAAATGAATTTACAAAAAAAAAAAAATTGTCCTAAATGTTAATTGTATATAAAAAAAAATTGACACTCACTTGGAGTCTCATGATGATGAGTTTTTTGTATATATGTTATGTTATCCGGTAGTTGTACACTCGACGGTGGTTATTGACGAAGAAATCTACAAACGCTGATGGAGTCTCTTCTATATAGGCAGGAGTCAGCCGCCTTGATGTAATTGGTGGAACGTTATAATGGCCGGCTACTTTTAAAGTCATTCGCCGTTGGTAATAAGTTACCCGTAAGCATTATGCCTTTAGGTATATTAAAAAGAGAGCCCCCCAGGTCCAGAAAAGAATGCGTTTTTAAGTGTGACGCAAGAAAGTTGTAAAATAATGAAAAAGTATTGTATATATATATATATGTATATACACACAAAACTTTATCACCCCCTCACCAAAATGACGCCATATTTCCCCGCGTGTAATTTCTACATTAGGAGAATACATTATTTATTGTTTCGACGAAAACAAAATAGCAATATGAAATTGGTCCCTCCAATTTCTTTTGGTAAAAGTCAAAATATGCAAATTATATATGAATTTTTTTTCTACAATATATATTTTTTCAATTTTACGCGTAAAATTATTTTTCAGATTTTTATATATATGTGACATTTTTGGAATAAATAATATTTATTATAATTAAATAAATTTTAATTAATAATTTCTGTATTTAAAATAAATAAATTTTTTTTAGTCAAATAATAATTGAGAATATTTATTTGATAAGACAAAGGTCTTTGTCTATAAAACGCAATGTATTTTTAGGAAGTCATTATACCATTGTTCATTCTTGGTATATAAATTTGTTTCGAGGCGCAATATATAAAATACGAAAATAAGGATAATAACGCTCAATAAGTAATAGTCGAGCATTGCACATTTACACTTATCAGTGAAAATTAGAATCTCGTTATTCTTTCAGCAACTTTACTTCAATAAAAAAATATGAATTATATATATAAAACCATATCTCTTTACACCAATTCTCATGATAATGAAGTTTGCAATAAAAGAAAAAAATTGTCCAAAGAATATATATACAAGGAAGTGTAATTTACAGATTATTTAATTCCAAATTATTATATACGAGGAGAAATAATTTTTTTCCTTTAACGAACCAATTTATTTGAACTTAAATAAAAATATGTAATTGACTCTTGAAAAAAAATTAATTTTTTTTTAATCATTTGTTATTGAATTTTTCTTTTTGTCGTCCTTTTCTGTTTATAACTGATTGTCCAGTTAAATTTAATATATAGAAACAAAATATGAAAAACTTATGCAAGAAAAATCATAAAAGACAAATATATTCTTATTCTATTTAATATCAGTTATAATTCAATAAGATGTAAAATTAAAGAATTTCATTTTTAGAACAATAATACTTTTTCATTTAATAAATATCGTTGATTTATAAATTATTCATTTCATAAGAAATTAAATAGGAAAAAAATATTTTAAAATATTTATATTTCTCTTTCAATTAAAAGAGAATCAAATTATTATATTTTTTGAAATTCAATAAAAGAATAAATTGAAGTCCCCACTAAGAAAAAATTATTTTTTTAAGTGCAGTTTATTAAAAAGTAATATCTTCTTTTTAAAACAGGTATTTAATTAATAAGTTTGGAAACTCTGGACAGTCACTCTTTTCTCTCTTTTTTTTATTCTTTTTTTCTCTCTCTTTTCTCTTTATTTTTCTCTCTGAAGCCTAACGAGTCAAAAAGAACTCATATTATGAATATATTATGAACCTTAAGGCGTAAAGTATATTAACTATATATGTAACTAAATAGACGGTGAAAAACACAATTACTTCAAAACACTTTCATTATATACAATTTAAAAGAATGAAAACGAAAATCCTATAGAAAAACCTAAATTACATTTAATTTTAAGTACATACAGGTTTAAAGTTTAATTATAAGATTATCCATATATATATAAATATTAGATGTATTGAAGCAAAAAAATAATGTTATACTATAACGCTGAATCCAAATGCATAATCCATACGGATATGGGAGCCGCCTTATTGACAACTTAATTTGAATAAAATTATTTACATTTCACATTTGTGAGAAATATATCGTTAAAAAAAAAAGAAAATGAAAACTTTCAACACTCTCTCTTTCTCTTGCTGAGGAACATAAAATTTATTTTTAAAAAACAAATTATTATAGCCATTTACTTATTATATATATATATATTTTTCTTTCTTTTCTTTTTAAATATATTATATGTATATATTACATCAAAATGTACAATATAACATTGTATTTAAAATACACTTAAATATATGAATATTTATATTCACATATGAAATTTCTGGCAATTTTAAAAATTCACCTAAATATACGCAATTTATTTATTAAATAATTTAAATGCCTTTCAATTTTTACAACACATTTACGTAATAATATTATATTAAATAATTTTCTGTACGCAATCGAATAATATTTGTTATAAAATAATTAACACACTTTTTGTTTTCTTAAATATGGAAGTGAAATAATATCATAAATATAAACAAAATTCATTTGCGAATATCAGATCTTAGAAAGTAAAAGTATTTTTTGTTTCACGAAGGAGTTTGTATAGATGTTGAATATAAAGAGAATTGAAGCATCAATTTAAGAGAAGTGTAATATAAAGAATCGCTGATTCAAGGATATTTATATAGAAAAGCAGTCAATTCAATTACGTTCAGATAAATGTAAAATCATTTCAATTTGAAATTATAGATCGTTCATTAATTTCTATTTAACTTCCTGCTTTCACGTTTTACATCCTTCATGATTAAAACAAAAAAAAAAGTGTATTCTTTCATATAATCAAATTGAAATTGACACTTTCCGAGAAGGACACTTATGTGACATGAAAATAATTTTCAGTGATTCAGATATAGAAAACACTGTTTTGTAACACAGTGATACGTAAATGTAATGTAACTATGGACAACTTTTTTTTAATATAGTTGATTGTAAGTTAAAATTTCAAAATAAGATAAAAATTACTTTCATGTTACATAAATGGTTTCTTTAAAAATAAATATCTGTAACCTTCGTAGTATCAACTTCAATATTAGTAATAATAATAATAGCTAAAGCGTTACATAACAGTAACTGAAAAGTTACTTTAGAATAACTAAAGTGTTACATAACAGTGCCCTCCATTGGAATGTTTTAAAATTTCAAATATATTCATATTTTGGAAATTCTCCAAATTTTATATGTTAAACTTTTTACTTATATATATATTACATATATATTTCTAATTATATGTACTCGTTAAATTTTCGAAATAAAAAAAATATTCATCTCTTATAAATAAATAAAAAACTGAAAAAATTAACATCTTTTAATAAATAAACTAATCGTTTAAAATCGCTAAATAACGAAAACAAATCGCTTTGGTATATACATTAATCTCTAATATAGTTTTGTGAAAAATAAAAAAAAAAACTGAAAATAATTCTTAAATGCACTATTTTTTTTAAACAAGTGCTTTTTTCTAAACGAAAAATATTTTAATTTACATCACAGCACTTTCAAGTAGGTAATAAATATATATATATTAAATGCCCTTTCATCAGTTAATACATTAAAATATTCAATCATTAATTTATTAGTCTTTCAATATTCAGTTAAAAAAATAGTAAAATATATGAAAAAAAACTAATAAAAAAAATACATCTATATTTTTCTATAGAAAATGGAAAAATTAACTTTTGTTATGTGATGATCGACAGGAAGCTAACAATTGCGATGCAATAACATCTAAAATTTGTAGATTTAAATCCCTATTTATTTTTTTCACTTCCAATGAGCCTATTGTAAATTTTATCATACCTTTTATATCGTTTTCATTGAAAAATAATTTTACAATTGATGAAACTGATTTTTCTAAGGATAATTGAACTTTTTGTTGAAGATCCTCTAGTGATTCGTCACATTCATTGTCAGTGAGACTTGAATTTACTGGTAATGTTTCACAATAATCGTAAGCCCAACATACAATATTCTGTAAAAAGAAAAATTTTTTTTTAGTAAAAAATTGTCACATAAATTATACTAAGAATTTAAATAAATTATAATTTCTTTAAAATTTTACCTCTATTAAGGGTTCTGTGACGCTGCCAAGTATCAATTTAAAACATTTTATGAAGCCTTCATGCTGAAATGATTTATTACTATTAACGCCAGAAAGAATTTCACATGCCAAATCAATTCCAGCGCAAGTCAATGATAAATTAGAGTCAAGTTCATCTACTTCTGAAATGAGATAAAAATTATTTATGATTATATTTATATGGAAAAATATTTTATTTTATAAAATTAGTAGAAAAAGTTGGTTTTAGTCAGACAAGGTCAAGAATTTTTATAATATCCGTAATAGTAGTAAAAGTCGGTTTTAGTCAGACAAACCCCCGGAATATAAAATATTATTATTAATAGCTAAACTAATTTTTAGTCAGACGAGAATACAGAATTTTTATATTTATGTAACTAGTACAAGAATATCAATTTTACTAGTAGTACAAATATTTTTTAGTCAGACAATTAAGAAAAAAAATTGAAAAATTCGTTTCAGTAGTACAAATTAGTTTTAATCGTACAAAAATGCGGAATTTTGAAAATATATTATAAGTAGTAAGAGTCAGTTATAGTCAGACAAAAATCTTGTATATTAAAAATACTTTCGTCAGTAGTATAAGACAATTTTAATCAGACAAAATCGAAAAAATCTATTTCAGTAGTACAAATCAGTTTTAATTGTACTTAATCAGACAAAATCGAAAAAAATCCATTTCAGTAGTAAAAATCAGTTTTAATCGTACAATAATCATGAATTCTAAAAATATATTACTGTCAGTAGTAAAAGTCAATTTTTGTCAAAACTATTATTTTTTTATAGGTTATTACTTTAATTATAAATTATTACCGTCACAAGATCTATTCATTATTTCCCACCAATGTGCCAAAAGTTCAGAATCTCCACTTCCTTCAACAGAATCAACTGCTTCGTATGCTGTATCAACTGAACAATAATCCGTTCGATCAGCCACCAATTGACGTAGATCGTGTGCAAAATTTTTCTACAAAAAACAAATTTTCTTAAATAATTAATAAAAACATTTATAATTAAATAATTTTAAAATTTGTTATATATTTTTGTTGTGTTTTTTATAATATATTTATATTATATATTCACATTTATGCTGACGTCTTGAACAAATCGCCACGGTACATCGGCAAGTGACATTAGTGTTGGCTGAAAAAATGGATTTTCCTCTTCTTGTTGTTCCATTTCAAAACCTGGTACAACTGTTTTTAGTGTGTTAAAAACGCCACTAACAGTTTTTGCCAAAAATCTATCAAATCGGGGCGTGACAACATCAGCCTTTTTTCCAATGCCACTGTCTGGTCGCAAAAAACGACGTAAAATATTCGGTGCTTCATTACCCAATCTTGAACATATTGTTTTTAAATAATTCTCCATTTCCACTCGTCCACCCTCAGGAAGTGTTATGTCAGACATTAATTCTCTGAGACCTGAAAACTGAACGAAAAAATTACTATTATGCAAAGTTGATAATTTTTTATAGAATTTATAATCAACATTATGAAAAAAATAAACTAAAATTAAAATATTAAATTGGTAACATATGTTTTTCAGTAATTTAAGTCAGGTTTTAGTCAGACAGACTGTATAAAACAGTTTAAAACACCCAAAAAATGTCAGTAGTAAAAGTCAGTATTAGGCAGACTAAAATTTGAGTCAGTAGTATAAAAGTCAATTTAAATCAGACCAACATTTATGTCAGTAGTATAAATCATTTTTAGTCAGCCAAATATTCAGAGAACTGAAAAACTTATTTCAGTAGTACAAATCAGTTTTAGTCAGACAAAAATAGAGAATTTTAATATTTATCTAAGTAGTAAATGTCAGTTTTAGTCAGACGTAAATCTTAATTTTTTATTAATAACAATCTCAGTAGTAGAAGGAGGTTATAGTCAGACATAATTTGAAAAATACCTCCTCCAAAGAAGCGTGAAGTTGCACAAAATCAGAATATCGTCGTCTTGTTGTGGTGCAAGTTGTTTCAAATGTATAAACTCCACGTTGTTCAACATCGTCGAATTGAATGCAATAAAGAATTTGTTGAGAACCTTCAGCTGAAAAATATGACTCAATACGAGGAATCGATATATTTGTGAATGGACTCTCTAAATCACAAAATCCAAATTTCTCCTCCACTTGTCTGCGTAAAAAATAAAATAAAAAATTCGTAAAAAATATATCTGATTCCATTTGAAATTAAAATAAAGGTGTATTATATAATAAAAAAACTAATTTTTTTTAAATAAAGAAAATAATGAAAATAATCTTATTTTGATTAAATGTATATCATACAATGGTGTTGTAGCAGTAGATTTTTGTTGTAATAGATTTCTGAGTCTTGCAATTGTTGATGCAAAATCAGTTGGTTCTTCATAAATTGGCGATATTCGATCTTCATCCAATTCGGATTCAATTTCAGATATTACACCCATATCGCCCCAAAGTCCACGACGATGATTATTTGATGTGCCGTCAATTTGAACTTCTAAATTTATTGTTGGTTTACATTTTATATCGTTAACTTTACTTTCTTCAATTTTAACTTCCGGTAATTGGATAAAATTTGGCTTTGTTAATGGTCGTGCTATAGCGGCTGCTGTAGCAGAAGCTATACCATCACTTAAAGCAGTAGGAATGATACCCTGTATTAAAAATTTTTTTTGTTGAAGTTAAAGTGTGTTAAAAAAATATTACAGTCAGTAGCAAAGTTCAAATTTGATCAGACAAAAATTGCATATCTAAAAATATGAATAGAAGTAGTACAAGTGAATTTTAGTCAGACAATAATTGAGAAACTGAAAAATTCATTCTCAGTAGTACATGTCGATTTTAGTCAGTCGAGAATACGGAATTTTTATATTTATATAAGTAGTACATCTTAATTTTAATCAGACAAAAATGGGGAATTCTCAAAATATTTGTCAGTAGTAGAAGTAGATTTTAGTCAGACAGTAATCGATAAAATTTATGTCATTAATACAACTAAAATTTAATTAGTAGTAGTATAAGTCAGACAAAATTTTATGTCAGTAGTATAAGTAAGTATTAGTCAGACAAGAAACCTAAATTCCAACAATGATTGCATTAGTAGCAAAAGTAATTTTTAGTCAGCCAAAAATCAAGACAAAAATTCATTTCAGTAGTAGAAGTCAGTTTTAGTCAGACAAGTAAATAGAATTTTAATATTTATTAAAGTAGCAAAGGTCAGTTTTAGTCAGACGTAAATCTGAACTTTTAATAATAATAATAATGTCAGTAGTAGAAGGTTTTTGTCAGGCATAAATCCTGAATTCTAATAATAATTATGTAAGTAGTAGAAGTAGTTTTTAGTCAGACAAAAATCGCGTATTATATAATAATTATTTTTAACTATAGTTTCTTAATATTTTATCCTTTTGTCATTGTCAATATTACTTCAACTCCTGTATATAGTTTTTCTCGTTCTCATACGTGTAAAAAGGGAAGTAAATCCACAGGAGCTATTCTATAATGTCTAATATAAAGAGAAAAGTAAATGTTTCTAATTTCTTACTTCTTCTTTGGCATTTGTTGGAAGAGTAGTTTGAATTTTTTGTTCTATTGAAGTTGTTGAATGTAATTGATGAATAAGATGCTGTAAAATCCATTTTGGAGATGATATTGTCTCCAATACTGACAATAGCCTTCTAGCTAAAATCGATAACAGTAGCTTACAAGGCAATGAACTTCCAAGTTCCCATTGTAAAAATTCTCTAGCTATAACTGTAACTAATCGACCTAATGTATGTTCCAATGCAGTTGAACTTCGTGAACCAGGATGTGAATAATTGTATGCCTCTTCAATATTGGCAGCAAATCCTTTCTCAACTCGTCGTAGTGCCCTTTATGAAAAAAATATAACTTAATAACATATATAACTCTGGCAATCAAAATGACAATAACAAACCTTCTATATTCTTTCAAATGTACAATTAATACACCAGCTAATTTATCAACAAGTTGAATTTTTTCAACAGCTTCAATACGTGTATTCAATCCCAATGATAATTTTGAAATTAAATCTTTTGCTTCCTGAGAAAATTGATTGTCATCACTTATATTTTGATACCATATTTGTATATACTTTGAATCAATTTCATGAACTATTTTTTTATCCTTTTCTGGTGATTCTTTATTATTATTTGGAGAATTAATTGTTGTTAATTTATTATTATCATTTATTGTTTTTTGGGAATTTTTTTTAATTAAATATTTTTTATTTATCACTAAACGTGATTGAAGATATGCATTGAATTTATTTCTTAAATATATTGAAATTGGATGTAATGTAATTGATGAATCAGCTTTTATTATATGTTTAAAGACAATACAACTTATCCATGTTGATAAAATTGTGACAAGCAGTGCCCATAGTATTGGAAAATAAAACGGCAGTGATGATGAATACACCCAATGTTGTGTTATTACACATAAAAGTAGACACGAAAAACTTGATAAAAAAATCAATTGTCCCGATGATGAATTCATAGTCTAACACATTAATTTTTCTTATCTCTATAAACAGTTATAATAATTACAATAAAATATGGGATACCGAATGTTTACAAATTTATATATAGTGTACTGTTAATTCCGAAGAAAATTTAACAACATGTTTGGTGTGGATTAAAACTTTTTGTAAATGAGTATCAAGACCCTTTTTCTGAGTACAAGCAAATCTAGTAAATTTGAATTCTTCGGGAATTTTCTAGAATTTGTTTTTCATCAAAAAAATTAAATTCAAACAAGTATTATTTCTATTGTATTTTAGGGATTATATTTTAATTATTTATATTTTCGATCTTCTGTTTCTTTTTTTAAAAAACGAATTAACAATTTATAGAATTTTTAACTTTTTAAGAAATTTAGACATTTTCTAACTAGATTTGATATGAAGCGCCAAAAGTGACTATTTTTCTGTACTACAGTGGTGACTTTTTTAGCAGTTACCTACAAGGGATAAATTAAATTCCCGATAAATTATTTTCCATTTTCTGCAAAATAACTAAAAACTAATTTTTTATACTAAAAACAGTAATTCTATTATAAATTAAAAATATTTTTAAAAAATATTTTTGAAAAATTTTCCTATTGACTGTAGGTATTATTATCGACAATTTTCACTTAATACGGAAAATTGCCGCAACGCTTGTAGTGGCGCTACGAATTTTCCTAAACTTATCTACCGCACCCTATATAAAATTTCCTACCTATCTTTGCTTAGAAAGAGATAGAGAGAGGATACTTCTAGCATCAGCAATATATTTGCATCTCGTTACTTCTCCATTAAGTGTATAGTAGTGGTGTTAATCATAATTCTTTTTTTTTTTAAAGCAAATTTTTATCAGTGGTTGGTGATTTTTTTTTCCTTAATATTTTTTTGTGAAAAAAGAAGTGGAAAAATGACAACTCCTGTGGTAATAGAAGCTACAGCAAAGCACACTGCAACGGTAATATATATATATACATATATATTATACAAAATACTCCGAAAACATTGATTTACAATTTTTATTTTGGTTATATTCATCTCTATCACACAAACGTCAAGTAAAATCGAACTTAAGTTGATTAATATATGTTGCTTACGTAATTTGATTCTTCTTGAATGTTATAAATAAGAGCGTGGCATTATATATATATACATATATCTCTTATTTTATATTGAGAGTATATTTCTAAAAAAATTTATTACTAAAAAAAAACTATGCTGAAATATGTTTTGTGTAACATTTTTTTTTATATTCTCCAAATACTCCATTATTCTATTTTTTAATTAGTTCTATTGATTAATAATATTAATTATTAATTAAGAAAGTACTATATATAGTACATTACATATAGTAATTTTATAATTGCGAATAAAAACTTAGCTCATTAACAATATGAAAATGTTTATTAACTAAAAATATTTTTCTATAATAATTATTATCTTTTTTGCAGTTAATATTCCTGCATGGATTGGGTGACACAGGGTAAGTTGTTGCTGATGGCAGGAAAAAGTTATATTATATTATTTATTGTATTGTAAGCAACATAAATTAGGTTAATAAATTTTTATTATTAAATAATGTAAAGATTATAAATATTATTTTTTTTAAAGACATGGCTGGGCCAGTTCTATGGGTGCGGTGAGATCAGCTTGCATGAAAGTTATTTGTCCAACGGCGTAAGTTCTAGAAATTATTTTTAAAAAAGTATCTAAAACAAATACTATTAAAAATTAGTTCCTATAAAGAAACGTAAAAAATGAAAAATTAATTTTCCAGACCTACGATGCCGGTAACATTGAATGCTGGATTTCAAATGCCATCTTGGTAAGAGCAGTTTTATTATTAGCAAACAATTTTTTTAAAAATTTGAATCAAATATCACTGATTAGAAAGCTGAAATTTAACAATTAAATAATTTCTCTAACATTTTTCACTGAAATTCCGTTATATTTCACTGAAAATCAATCGAATTATTCACTGATTTAAATATGCAAATCTACATTATCATCAATTGGTAAAACAGATTTGACTACTTCTATCAAACTAACTTTCAAAAATATGATTGAATTTTACATCAAATAGTAATTTAATTGCTAAATTACAATTGAACTTTTAATTTAGAGAGCAAAAGAATAATGTAATGAACTAATAAGAAAATTTTAATCGACCCCAAAAAAAAGGTTTGATTTAAAATCCCTGAAGTCAACTGGACCGGAAGATGAAGCAGGAATTCGTAAAGCTGCAGGAATGGTGCATTCTTTGATAGCCAATGAAATTAGTCTTGGAATACCAGCAAATCGAATAATTTTAGGTGGTTTTAGTCAAGGTGGTGCTCTGGCAATATTTAGTGCTCTCACTTATCCTCAATCATTAGCCGGTATTATTGTTTTATCTGCTTGGCTTCCTTTGCATCAAAAATTCCCAGCGGTAAGATATAATCACAAAAAAGAATAAAGTTTAACTCTATTTAAAATTTAAAACCAAAATTACTGAATATTAGCCATTTTTTTGGCTCAAAATAAGTTTCAGTCCATTTTTGGGCATAAAATCACAAAATTCAATTTCATTTAAATTAGTTTCAGTCCAAATTGAAATCAAGATTTATTTTTTTAATGTGAAAAATTTCACACACAATAATGATAATTAGTAATTTTTTTCTGTAGGAAATGATTGGAAATAAACAAACGCCTTTACTACAATGTCATGGTGATTGTGATCCAATTGTCCCTTATAAGTGGGGACAATTGACAGCAGCTGCCATGAAGCAATTTATGTCAAATACCGAATTCAAAACATACCGAGGTTTAGAACATTCGTCTTCTGATGAAGTAAGTTTGTTTTTTTTTAAATATAAATTCCTCCCCCCCCTAATTTATTTTACTATAATTTTTTTAAAATCAATTCATCAAATTTTTTCATATTGTACGTTACTTTTTTTTACAGGTACTTCAAGATATTAAGAAGTTTATTGAAAAAACCATAAAGTAACTTTTTAAATGAATTGCATTTATAACTTATTCGCTACACCCTAATTGTAATAAGTACTGAGAGGAAATTATTTCCAAACTTTAATATTATATACATATATTTAAATCTAGTAACTCGTTGACGAGTTAAAAAAAAATCAATCTAGGTGAAAAATTCCAACGTCTATAATATAAAAAAGAAAAAAAAAATGATACGTAGATTGATCAGTAAAAACGTCTTTCTATGATGATAAAAAATAATGTCTCATTATTGCTTATAAAAATTATAAATCTTATTTTATGCCGAACTGCTGCTATTGATCAATATTATAGATTACTAGTTTCAGAATAAGAAAAATTAAGCATTTATTATCCTACTAAATGTCACTTTTTAAATAACAGAAAAACAAAATTTCACAAGTAGAAGACTGAAATTGTTCTTTATTTACGTATCTCTTAGATTTCATTGAAATAAACTTCCATTTTTTTTGGTGCTGTTTTTTTTTATTTTTGCGTGAATTTTTTGTTGTCCTTGATACTTTTTTTTGTCTATATATGTAGTACAAAATATGTTGATAAAATTAATGCCAAACATTCCCAAAAAAAAGCATTTTGATGTGTAGAAAAAAATTTACTGTCAAAGAAAAGAAAACCTTTGTAAAAAAATATAATGTTCTTGATCACATTTTTCCAATTAACATTATTAAAAAAAAATTTTTTTTCTAAATTAGAATTTTGTGATTTTAGTAGACAAAGTGAATTTTTTTCTTCGAAAGTAAATTGATAATTTGTGACAAATGGTTCTAATAATTTTTTGAAATGAAAAAAAAACTATTGATAATACCGTACTTAGATCAATCAAATTTCATACTAGAATTTACAATGACTGAGGAAGTAATAATCATTTATATATAAAACAAATTTCGTAATGTTAATAGCAATTATTCTGCAAAAAATTAAGATCATTAAATACCTACTCGTGTATATTGTAATATGAAAAATATCACGCTTAATAATGAATCTTTTTAAATGATTCAAACAAAGAGTCTCTTAAATATAGTCAGTGATCGGGCTCATTTAGTGGGTGCCTCTAAATATTTTCAAAAAATACTAGAAGAAATTAATTTTGCAGTTATATATATATAAAATATAATCTTCATCGATCAACAAAGAGAACCTTGTTTAACAGATATGTAAATATGTATTTAGAATAAAAACAATTTTTCTGAAATAAGAAATATATTTATCATTATATTATTATTTGTATATTATTTTAATTTTTCTACAGCTTTAGGAAATAATAATAAAAAAATATTAAAAAGTACTATTAGTACTATAATTATAGTAATATTGGTACTAATAGTAATACTACTAATAATACTATAGTATTACTATTAGTAGTATTACTATAGTATTATTAGTACTACTACTATAGTACTATTAGTTCTACTTCTATAGTATTAATAGTACTATAAATATAGTACTATACTATAGTACTTTTACTATATAGTTTAATTTGAAAAAAAGAAAAAAAGCTTAAAATTTGAAGAAGCAGACGAAATTGTATTCAGTCGGTAATGTTTGTATCGTAAAATGCAACAGTCGATAACCGGCTATATGCGAAAACCGAAAAGTTTCATTCTTTGATCCAAAATTAATGCAAAACAATTTTTTTTACTTATTTAATACAATCTAGAGAGTCGAAATAGTATTTTTTCATTTTTTTTTTTAAATCACGAAATCCATTTACAACAAAGTATATATTTCTTTTGTTTAGTGTCTTTAATTTATTTGTTAAAGTTGAGCTATTTTTTTTGTTAATGATTATTATTTAAATAGGGTTTAGTGGAAAAAAATGTTTAATAACAATTTTTTTTCAAGAAATTACTTATTTTATGAGAGGGTAATTAATTTGCCCACGTATATATCCAAACATTGAAGAATAATTCTAAACTCGTAAAGAATCTAATTACCCAGAAGTCAGACGGACCATCTTTCAAAGTGCAAACTGGAGGCAATCTTGTTCGACACCGTTTCTATATACTTTGACACATAACCCCTTCGTCTCCTCATCTTTAAAATTTTTTTTTTATTTTCTTTACTTAAGGTATTTATCTTTGTTTTCTATTTTATTTTTTTCTAATATGAATATTTTTTCATATTGATATTTATAGTTTCTATTTTCTTTTTTTTTTATTTTTTATTATTCGTATCTTTTTCATACATTTTTTTCTATTTTTTACTTTTTGTATTTTTTTCTATCTTTTATTTCTTATCTTTTTCTCTTGCCCCTACTTTTATAACATTGGTCTTTCTATCGCTGTCTTAAAAAATTTATAGGATTCAACTAAGTATATATATATATTTAATATTGTTTTCGATAAGGTTCCTCTATTTAATAAAAAATATAACAATTGATACGCGAATAATTTTTTGCAAGACGCGTGCGAATTTATACTTTCGGGTAAAAGTATATATAAAAAAAAAATATATATATATATAATGCCAAGCTTGCGTAGGGGTTTTAGGTGGCCTGGTCGATATATCAGGGCTCCGCTGCAGCTGTCTGTCAGGCTCGCGAAACTCCATGCTAGACGACGTCGGGCCCGAAGAAAAAACCACTCCGCTGCTTCTGGGGTAATTTTTCATCGTTGCAACGCGGACGACAGAGAGAAGCGTTGCGACGAGGGAGGCGGCGTTGCCATACACACACACACACACACACATATATATATATATATATAGCCAGCCAGTTGCCCTTCCATTGCACACGCGAAAAACGTCCACCACCCTTTTTTCTCTCCCCCCCTCCTCCTTTACCTCCCCCCAAAGTCACCCACGTACATATATACACTCCCCCCCCCGAAAGGAGAATCACGCAGGTAGCCGCCACTACAAAACCCTGCAAGCTGAACCCCTCTAAAATCCTCCCCCTCCCCTCATACCATTCTCATCAGAGGGTGAGATGCAGTCACTCCCCCCCTCCACCCCCTATATGGCTACGAAGCTTTCTCTCTCTCTTGGGGAAAAAGTAGGAAAAGAGAGTGGGGAGGATCGATTTTTACTGGGGATATCACCCTCCCCTCCCCCCTACATGCACCAACCCCCCTTTTTTACGTTTCTCGCTCTTTCTCTCTTTCTCCCTCATCCTTAGGTCCTATACTTCTCAGTTGAGCTAGCCACACTGTGTATACCCCGTCCCGGACGTAATGCATCTCTCCACCCCCTAAGGCTTTCACGCGGACACCTCTTTCCCTCCACCCAATTTTTTTTTTTTTTTTTTTTCTGTAAATTCTCCCGCCCTGATCCACCATCCCTTTTGGCAAAAATATTTCCCTCCCCCTTCTTCACCCTCCCCCCTCGCCTTTACGATTTCGTTAGAAAAAAAGGGAAGTGAGAAAAAAAGGAGGGGGGGATTTAAGCTTTTCTTTTCCTATATATGTATATATATATATACACATACGGAGGAACTATCTCGCAGATTTCCGGGTACAGGGAATGCAATGTTCCCAATCCGAGAGTTGTTCTCGCCAGCTTGAGTCTAGAGTATTTCACGGTTCTCGCTCTTTCCAACATGCATTGGCCTTCTATAAAACTTTAGGAAACTAGTCGATAAAGCACTTGATTAGCCCTGTACATATATATATATATACATATATGTTACCTATAATCGCGTAAACCTTTCTTTGAATTGGTAAAATTTGTTCTTTATTGTATTTAAATAAGAATAAAAAGAATATATCTTTTTTGAAATTTATTCTTTCAGTAGAAAGAAAGTTTAGAAGAATCTAAACAGAAAATACAAAATAAAAAGTTGGGAGAAATTATACATAAAAAAATTTAAATAATTCTTAACTGAAACTGCTGTTAAAATACTGTTTTTTAAAAAAAAAATCGAAAGATTTAAAAAAAAGTTTTTTTAATTGAAAATAAGTTACAGGAAAAAAATTAAATTTATAAAGAAGGAATTTGTAATGCCTGACTAAAATGAATGTGTACTACTGCGATGTAAAAATACGGAGAAAATGTTTCGTCTGACTGAAACGGACTTGTACTACTGAAAACAAATTTGCAAAAAATTTTTATGTCTAATTTCGATTTATTATTAATGCAATGTATGACTAAAGTTTTACTACTGATTATTCAGTGAATTAATTATGTACAGCTAAAACAATTTACTACTAATATTAAAATTGACAAGAATTTTAACTAAAATTAAAATTACTAACTAAAATTTATTGAAATTTTTTAATATACTGTAAAAAACAAATAAAACTGTCTGACTAAAGAAAAACTTTTACTACTGGTACATGAAATAAAGAAAAACTTTACTTTGTCTGACTAAAACTATATTTTACTACTGAAACTAAAATTTGGATTAATTCTGCATTCTTGGATACAAATTTTTAGATGAATTTAACAATTTTTTGTCTGACAAGTACTATCTTTTACTACTGATAGAAAAAAGGTAAGAAATCGAAACTGTCCTATATAAAAAAAACGGAGAGAAAAATTATGTTTCGAAGTAAATATCAGACAAATAACTTGATTTTTAACTGTCTTACTAAAACTGGCTGTTACTACTGATATTTAATAATTACAAAAAAATCAACAATGAAACATTAAAAAGTAAATAATTACAAGAATTCAGATAAAAGCGTGTCTCACTAAAACTGTCTTTTACTACTGCTAGAAAAATTTGAATATTTTGAAAAAAAATTGTCTGACTGTAACTGTTTTTACTACTTATGTTAATTTACAAGAACTTAAAATATAAATTAAGGAGTTTCGTTACAAGAAAAGAAAATTATAAAAATAGAAAATGTCTGATATTAATACACTACTTCTGTTACAAAAATTTAATTCAATTTTAGAATTCTAACATAAACAAATACTCTTTTTTTTGTATTTTTCAGGGCATTTGAAAAATATTTTCGAAACTAATTTTTAAATATATATATTTTTCTCGCTTTTTTTGTTCATTTATAACAAGTTTCATGTACGGAAGTTTGACATTATTTCTGCAGGCTGAGCCTCGGGCTGTTAAGCAGTTAACAAGTTTTTAAAAATATTTCAATCAATTTTTTTGTTTTACTTTTCTTCTTTGGTTAAAAACTTGAAAAAGACGTGGAGAGAAATTTGGTCAGATCGTTAGGAAAAAAGCATGAAATTTTTGGCTTTTATATAATAATAATAATAATAAAAAAATTCTAGAATTAAATGCAGCAGTCCTCTGAGGACCACTTGCGCGCACCATACCAGTTTTTTTTCTTAAAAAATGCGAGACATCACTAATGAGGGCTCCACCCTAACTTTAAAAGGGATATATTTTGGTCGCGAATTATAAGCAATAGTAGTGCCAGTACTTAGAAAAAAAGATTTTCTTCATAAAAAAATATACTTTTTCAAAATATATATAAAAAAAGTTTACTTTTTCTATTTTTAAAAATTATCTTTTTTCAAAATTTTTTAACGTTTTAATATTAAAAATTAGATTAAATTAAAAT